GATTTTCAGTAGGTGGCGCTTGAAGAGAAACTGGATTTTATTTTCAATAGGTATAATGATGATAATAATGACGATAAGAAGAGGAAAGATGATGATGATAATGAGTATAACAATGTGATGATGATGATGATAATGATAATAACAATAACAATAACAATAATAATAATGAAAGATGATAATAATGGTAACAATTGCATGATAATGATAATAATAATGATCATTATTATAAAACTAATAGCAACAGTAACAATGATAATAGTAATTATAAAATCATAACACTGATAACCATAACAAGAATAATGATATAAAAAATAAAGATAATTTTAATGACAATAATAACATCAGTGATATTTTGATAACAATAATGATAACATTGATAATAGCAATAGTAATGATAATGTAAATAAATCTAATGCTAAAATTAACGATAACAAAAAGAGTTATAACAGTAATAAGGATGATATCCATAATAATGATAATTCTACCAGCAGTATCACTTAAAAATGATAATGCAGCGAGTAGGGCAAGTGAGTAACTGCCAAAAATTTAACCTTATTCTGGGCGGGGGCTTTTATATATGAAAATTACGGAATAACTGGTAGATAAGTAGATAAGTCACTTATTGCTGTCTTCGAGGTTATTATCATTATCAATATTATTATGATCATTCTTGTTATCATTATTATCATTATTACTTTTATTATTATCATTATTATTGCTATTATTATTATTATTATCATAATCATCATTACTGTTATCTTCATTACCGTCATTATCATCATCTTTATTATCATTATCAATATTATTGCTACTATCATTATCATCATTATTTTTTATGTTGTTATTGTTATAATGATAATGATAGCAGTAATGATAATAATAATAATTATTATTATTGTTATTATTATTATTATTATCATTATTATTACTATTATTATTATCACTATTATCATTATCATCATTATCATTATTATTATTATTATTATTATTATTATTATCATTATTATTATTATTGTTATTATGATTATTTATTGTTATTATCATTATTATATCATTATTATTATTATCATTATTATCATTATTATTATCATCATTATCATTATCATCAATATTGCTATTGTTATCATCATTATTAGTGCTGCTCTTGTTGATATTATCATCATTATCATTATTCTTATCATCATTATCATTATCATTTTCATTATCATTATCATCTTTATGATAATCATCACCATTATCCTTGTTATTATTATCAGTTACTATTATTATTTTTATTACTTTTATCATTATTATCATTGTCATTATTAGTATAATTGCCATTCCTATTAGTGTATTCATTACTGTTATTGTTATCATTATCATTATCATCATCATTATCCTTATCATTGTTATTCGCGTTGTCTCTATAATTATTACTCTCATTCTTACTATTCTTATTGTTATTAAGATTGAAACTATCATTGCTATTGTTATTGTTATGTATTGTTATCATTGTTATTATTATTACTATCATCATTATCATTATGATTCATATTATATTGTTTTTATTATTATTATCCTCATTATCATCTATAGTTATTATTGTTGTTGCTGTTATTATTACTTTATTATATTATTATATTAATTATTATATTATTATTATTATTTATTATTATTATTATTATTATTATTATTATTATTATTATTATTATTATTATTATTATTATTATTATTATTATTATTATTATTATTATTATTATTATTATTATTATTATTATTATCATTATCCTTATTATTATCATTGTTATTAGTAGTATTAGTATTGTCATTATTAATATTGCTATAGTTATTATCATTACTATCATTATTATCATCATCATTATTATCATTGTCATTATTATTGTCATATCAGTAATAATAAGTCATTGTTATTATCATAATTATAATAATTATTGTCAATGATATTGTGAATACTATTACCATCATTATCATTAATATGGTTATCATGATTATTATTATTATTATCATTATTATTTATTATCATCATCATCATCATCATCATCAATGTTATGATCATTGTTATTATCATCATAATTATCATTATTGTTATTGTCATTATTATTATTGTTATTACTATCATCATTGTTGTTATTACGATTGACATTTATATTACTGTTATTATTATAATATATTTATCATATTTATCATTATTATTACTATTATCATAGCTTTTGATTTCATAATTTTTATTATTCTTTTGACTATTATTGTTATTGTTATTGCAGTTATTAATAGTAACTATTATTGTTATTATTATTGTCATTATTATTATTATTGTCATTATTATTATTATTGTTATTGTTATTGTTATTATTATTATTATCATTGTCATTATTATTATTATTGTTATTGTTATTATCATTATTATTATTATTATTATTATTATTATTATATTATTATTATTATGATTATCATAATCATTATAATTTTTATTATTGTTATTATTATTATAATAATAATTATTATTATCATCATAATCATTATGATCTTTATTATTGTTATTATTATTATTATTATTATTATTATCATTATTACTACTACTAATATTATTATTATTATCATATTATAATCACCATTATTATTAATATTATGACCATTATCATCATCATTATTACTGTCATTATCATTATTTAATTATCATCATCATGGTTTTTACTATCATTATTGTCATTATCTAATTATCATCATCATTGTTTTCACTATCATGATTATTTTATTGGTGTTGCTGTTCTTTACAATAATTATATAATTGCCATTTTTGCCATACTAAAATCAGTATACATTTCTGAGTGATAAATTATAATCAAGTGTAACGTAGTACACTTAAAACATATACAAATTACTTTGGTCTCTGATAAGAAGCACTGATATGTGTTATCAACTGAGGGATGTAAAAAAATAGTTGATTACCTGAGGGTTTTTGGTTTCCTGATTATTCCCCTCGCCATTTTTTTCCTTTCTTTAATAGCCTTATTTTTTATATATGATCGCCTGGGAAACGTTATAGTTGTGGGCGTATTGTGCGTTTTTCAATATTCTAGATAATTATATATATGTATCCCTAACCTCAGTATATCATTATCGAAAAAATGTTAATATGTGGCGATTCTTATCAAATAAAATGCATATACTGTGCATCATAGGTAATGAGTTGACAGCAAATGAATCCAATTATTACTCAACGATAACAATAATTACACGACAGACAACCTCATACCATCGCTGACATATTCATCCTTCTGACCACAATCCCCAGTGAAGAAGAAAACCATGATAAGCTTCTTAAATCCACATAAAACGAGTGGAAAGAGGGAAAACCTGGAGTCCCCCTTCATAAAGCGCGACGACGGCGTGGGAAATCGACGCCGACCTTGTGCGAGGAGGAACCTAACAGAGAGGAGGAGGAGGGGGACCTTGTGTGAGCTCTTCCAGGCAAGTTCTGGGTGCTTGTGGAGTGTCGTGGTGACGTTGAGTCCCTGGGTGAAGGGGTGAAGGAGCGGGTGTGTGTGTGAGAGCGTCATGAGGTGTGGGAAAGCGCGGTGGATTTTGAAAAGCCTGGGAGGGGTAGGGGGCAGTGGGAAAAGGGCGTGAAGGCACAGCGAAGCTTCTAGTGGGTCTGTACCGCCGAGGCGATTTGGTATGTGTTGGGGTTTCCATGGGCGAATGACACCCTCTCTTTCGTATTTCACTTGGCGTGTGTCAATTCTCCACCAAAGACACTAGTTACTGATTGTCACTGCAAGGGCACTGTTCTATCCGGAATTAACAAAGCATGCACTAGTCCCCCAGCGTGACTGACCATGCCTAGGGTGCCACGATGTGTCAAGTCTCCAGATTGGATTTTTTCCCTGCTATTGTGTCGATTGGGACCCTTTGGTAATGTAGTTTTGGAAGGTATTGTGTCTCTCTGTTTTCTTTTTAAGAGATAAGAGGCAGACAACAGGGAAAACGCAGTGATCGGAAAATTTGTAGAATACATGTACATCTCAAAACCCACCAAATTGGATATCAGTGGACTCCTACTGATATCTGATATTCTGATATGAGTCTAATAGTCTGTGAAACCTATAGATTAACCCAATATTTATGGTTGAAAGCTCCCTGAATTTGTACAATAACTTTGGACTAAGTGATGATGTTTACCTCATGGAGCCACTATCTGCAGAATCTTAACATCATATATATCTCTCTGGGCTCGATCTTGCTGTCCGGATTTGGAGGTTTTGCATTCGGTGCAGGGATTTGGAGGTGTGGCGGTTCATGGGGGCCGTAACCCACCAAAAGAGGGTTTTAGGGAATGACTCCCAATATTGGCAAGAATGACGAATATCACATAATTTAACCAAGCAATGTTTCTTGAAGGTCGAGAAAATTTTACGCATACATAAAAGTCATTGTAATTTTTCAAAAACACAGCACTATGACATTAAGGGCAAGAGGGATCCGCTACATGTATTTTAGATAGATAGATCTTTTACTGGTTCTTTATTTGATGATGACTCTCCTATTGTATCATCTATGTATATCCCCCATTATTAGTGTATATTGTTTTCTGAAACCGATATAAGAGGCACATGCTATGATATCAGAATATGCTTTTAAGTACCATGAATAGTCAAACTTCATGAATGCGAAAAACAAGCAACATGATACAGACCTTGCTTGTGTTTGGCCTGTTGCTTTAACATCTGAGAACCGCAAAGCCATGTCAATCTCCCAGCGACTAAAAAGGAATTATTTTTAAGTTTTAGAAATATAAGTAATTGGAATAGCTAAATTTTATGTACCAGAAAATATTTATTTCTTTGCAATATCTTATGTTTTAGTAAAAATGAGAAATTACTATGAATGTGCAAATAAAATATACATGATATATATACTTTTTTATATGAAATGATAAGGTAATTCTTTACAATAGGGAAGCACTCACCAGAGACTAAGTCTCCAACTCCATATCACAAAATGTATTCAATAATCTAAGTTGTCATAACTGGGCGCGTCATTCGTGCTTTGCCCGAGTGGAGGTTTGATGGGGAAACATTATCTCCACCTTGGTATGCATGGCAAGATTGAGCTGAAACTCAGGAGCACCAAATCGGACTTAGGCTGTGAGTGGCACTTTCCATGATTTTTTCCTTTATTTTTGGCATTACTGTTCATGTCTGCAGACTATTCCTAGCACTCTTTTTCCTCCACAAGAATATGTTCTTCAATTTGCCCCAACTTAGTGCTTCCATACCATAAATATTAACCAATGATAAAATATTTATTTAGATGTATTTATAACTTACTTTCCCAATGTATGAATAGTAAAAAAAGGATGAAATATTTATAACTCTGTGATATAAAATAGTTAGCTGCATGGAAGGGGAATGTGAGATGAAAAGATCTAGGGTATGGCTGGATGAGATATGCCATACAGCACCAGAATTACTACTTCACCTCTACTCAATTTCATTCACACAAAAATAAAAGATGGAAAAACAGACATGTCGTTGCCATCAACTCTGGCAGAGAAGAATCTTTAAGGGGAGGTGATATATTAGATGTAGGAAAAATTAAAATGGCTACACAGTACTAGACATGTTTATGGAGGATATGCGAGTCTCTTAAAATGAAAAGGATTTTTTTTTTCCCCCCCCCATTTTTGAATGCCTATATTTCTAATTTGATTAGCTTTATCCAGGTGTTAATAGACTCTGTAGGTAGTCCATAACTCAGTGCAGTAATGAAAGCAATAAGTAACATTTTGTTATTTGTGCAATTTTAAATTTCTTCTGTAATTTTAGATTTTCTGTAATTCATCTTGCCTTGCCAGTCACAACAGGCAAGAATAGGATGCTGAGTGTGGAAATAGCATCTTCCCTGGAGACAGTGCTCTTCCAGTCAAGGCTCACAGACATTCCAGACTAGTTTATTGATGGAAAAAATGCAAAAGCCCCTTCCTAAATTACAAATGAGTCTAATCATCATTCAGAAGCATTGTGCACATCTGGCGAGTCTTTCCCGTCGCCTCAGCCCTCAGCCAAATTTTCCCATGACAGCATGTTCACATCACCTGCCCCACAAGCGAAATTTTTTCATAACATGATGGCCACATCATCACATCCTTATGATGGCAAGAATACATGCCATGTTAATTAATCAAATTTTGTTAATTGTGTTCACACAGAGATAACACTACAATGATTGTCCTACCTGCCTCATTTGTGTACTCTTTCCCTGTTTTTGGAAATATCCTCTCCTCTTTTTGCAGTTTTTATTTTTATAAGGGTTTAAAGGGAATTATGATCATAAAGCCAATAATAGTAATAGTATGTATGATGATGATGATGATGATGATGATGAGATATTGAGATGATGATGAATGATATGATGATGATGATATGAGATGATGATGATGATTATGATGATCATGTATTATATTATATATTAGTATTAGTATTATAGCACAAGCATCAGTATTAACAGTATTTGAACAAAAAATTCAGTTGACTACTGAAACCCAAGGTAAGGAATTTAAAAGTAAAAAGTTAAATATTTAAATCCTATTTTACAGCAAAGAATGAGGAAGAAATGAAAAACTTGAGCCAAGAATTTTATTTTGTGTTTTAAAGTAAGTAGAAAAATAAATACTGAGGCAAGGTATGGTCATGGGAGAATTTGAAAAAAGGTTTGCCAGACTTGCAAATGTGTAGAACCAATGCTAAATGGACAATATTCTGCAAAAGACACATCTGGACCCTCTCCCATTATCTTTTTTCCTTAGATTAGCTACACCCTAGTCCCCTCTCGATTGCTGTAGCCAGGAGCTCCTCTTTGCAGAATAGAACAAGTATAATCCAACAAAAAGAGTATTTGCACGATAATTTCTAGCACATGATATATATAGGAATTTGCCTTTACACAATGCATGTCTCAGAGAGTGTAAATTTAGTATATGGCATAATATTTAGATGTATATTCATATAAAAATAGCAATGGGGAGGTAGATGAAAAATGTCAGGTTTCTGGAACCTTTTAGGACGATTAATTGTCAACCTGAATGCGATAATTCCAAATTCACTCTTACGATATTTAGAAAAATCACTAGATGATATTGAAAACCGTTACATCATTTGTTTATGCTGATCAGACAATTAAGGCCAGTTATTGTAAAATGCAAAGGATCAGATGGTTGACCATTTAGCCGAAGATATTAACAGTAAACATGAACATGAGTTACAAACTTGCAGACCACATTAATTGTATACCATCAAATGTAATAATAAAAGGTCTTTGATATTTCTATACATGTACAGGTTCATTTAGTAGGACAAACATTACTAAGTTGCTGTAGTAGTCTTTCATGTTGTTATAATGTCCTGGAATTAATTCAGAGGGGTGCAACTTTTAGAATCTAGTTTTTAAGTGCTCAAGCTATTCCAAAGTGTATCTTTATCTTTCAGGATATAGGATAAAATATTACTGAGTCAGAGATTTTTTTTTTTCAGAACAAGAGTAAAGATATTCTATATAAATACTGATTACAATTATGTTTATCACATCCTCCAAAGCAGGGTGAATATTACAAGGTATATGGATGCAGATTTAAAGGAAAGATATTATTATTTTTTATGTTTAAGCATCTTGTCACATTTAGATTATTCTTGTTCCAAACAGATTTCTGTGAGAAAGGGTGATGGCTGTAGAACCTGGGCCAGAGCCAGCTGAAGAGAATACAATGGATGTGGAACCAGGACCAGATGCTGTGGACATCACAGAGAAGAAAGATGGAGGAGTGCTGAAGGAGGTAAATTCATGTTTCAGACACATTTCATGGATCTGATTACTGATACTGGAAGATCTGGAGTATTTTGGAGTATTTGCTTGTTGATTTACACATGAGTTTATTGATTAATTAACCAGTGTTTAGTTTGTTCCTTTGTTAAACTTCATTGATGTTGAGGTAGCTTGCAAGTATTCATAATTGTATGTTATTCTTTATGATTGTTATATTTACCAGTATGTTTATACGATTTGATGATAAATTATCATAAATATGTAAAATAAATTATGATAAACCTAGCAAAGTATAAAGCCATTGACACTGATAGGATGATTCCAGTATTGTTAAAAATAAGCTTAGGTCAAAAGTAAAAGATTCTGTCACTATAGGCATTCCAAAATGGGATCAAACTAAAGTTATAAGATCCATAGTGAGAACCCCAATCCAAATTTTATCATATTAC